GGCTCGTAGTCTTTAGCGCAGATATCGCTCTTATGACTTTCCAAACTCAAGCTCTCGTTCTATTCGCTGTAGCAATAGTTCTCTCACAACGCTGCACATGTCGTGTGAAGTTATCTTTCCGGGCGTATGTCTTTCCCGGAGTCGTACAGTCCATGTTCAGGCATCGAAATAGTTTCGTGGGAATGACGTGGGTATCATATCGGTGGACGTTATTTTCGTGCCGTTGGAGGTCCGCTCGTAACCCGAATCTTGAGCTGCAAATTGTGCAAGGGTATCGGAGATTGTGTTTACGATTCTGATGGTTTCTGACAAGACTCGTGTTAGCATAGATGTCATAATTGCTTGTGCATTTAGACCACGTACCTCCTCAAGCCTGGTGTTCGAAAGCTAAGATGGCATAGAGAGCATGGGAATGTTGTATCAGTGCTTATCTCGTTTGGTATCGAGGGAGACACTGAAGGTTTCGCTGGCGTCGACACGCTGGGCAGCAATGAAAGTGGGAATGCTTGCAAAGCAAGATCCATCGCGCCGCGGTCCGTCCCGACATGGGAACCAGATGACAAGGTGACTGTGATGTTATTATCGCAGTCTTCCGAGGACTGATTCACCGGTATGATTGCAGCAAAGTTGATGAGTTCGACCGTTCCAAGCTTGTCTAAGCACCGTTCTTTACCTTTGAACGGCGAGAATTCTCCAGACGTTGCTGTGACAGGTGATATTGATTCTGCTGAGAGCTCTGATGTACTGGAGCCCGGCGAACGTATCGTATCTTCCGAAGATCCAGTCATGTTGGGATGAAGTGGCAATAAGGTGCCGCCTGGATCGACTGTTGTAGGAGTTGCGCATGGGGCCGGGGGATCGTCGAGGCTGATCACATGTGAGGCACTCATCCCAATACAGTCCCCTGGCTTTGACAGCATCTGTGAACTTGAAGCGCATGCTGTGATATGTCGATATTCTGTGCCGGTGTGACTTTTACTGAAGATGACAAGTGAGAGAATATAACCGGGTTGGGCTGGTGCTCCACATCCCACGGATTGACACAGACAGCATTATCAAGATCACACCTCCGGAAGTTAGACAGTTCTGTAATTTCGCCATCCGCAGTCTTTGTTACGATCGCGCGGCTTTGCCTCGGTCTGATAAAGGCGAAGTGATCGACAGTATCTTCACCATCGGATTGTGGTGAGTGCAATTCCGCTGACGTGCTTTCTGACACACAATGATTGTGGGTAAACCTAAAAGGCCTGAAGTCCTGAAGCCAAGCTTTAGAGCATTCAGTTGATTGTAGAGTCTCGGGTGAGTCTCCAGTTCCGAGGAATGGCGTTTTAGAGCCAGACGCTACACTTGCTGGAGCTGCGGTCAGCCATGGTGCTTTACCTAAAGTTATGTCAGTCTCACGTGCCTAAGCTCAGCCAGATGTTTGGTGCACTTACGATTATGCGACGTTATATCGTTCAAGTACGAAGCATCGTCGGTGCCAAGAATGCGCTTCGCATCCACCACGACTGGTTTCACATCCTCGGTAGATGTCTGGCGTGTTGGTGTGCACGCTTCGCGATTTCCTTGAGCAATCATGGATGACGACCCTAGCGAATGATATTCTATTGGACCAGGCCGGCGTTCTGATTTCGAATCATCATAATGAGCCGCATCCTGCAAGTCCGGCGCCTGGAGACCCCGTTCGCGACCAGCCGTGTAAAGATCCTTTGCGCGAGCATGGCCTTTCTCAGCCTTGTCTACAACCGACGTTGATAGATTTTTTGCTCTGGTGAAGATACGGCTTCCAAGCAGACAAATCCAAACGATGGGGACGAGAAGGATAAGCAGACCGAAGATGCTTCCTATCACGATTCCCGCGATTGCGCCATCGCTGAGACCATTCCCAGTAGCGTCGCGTGGCTGGGGTGATGTAGACGAGTGGATGTTCCTGGGTGAATTGGACATGGTGTGTAGAGGTTGATGGGTGATCTTTGGACAAGGTACGTCCGTGAAGCGTCCTCACAGTGTTGTACTTATAACAACGACGACGGACGCTGGAGGCATAGTGACGGCAATCGATAGAGCCACATTAGATGGCCAAAGGATAATCTCTGCATGAAAGTTCTGCGATATAATCGAGTCGATTTGGGAAGGTCTGCATGCGGCATGGCACAAGGCTGAGAAGAGCTGGAGGCATACTGATTCCGTCAGGGCTTGCCATTGGACAATCCACATATTGCCGCCACACTTCAGCCTCGTAGTATCTGAACGCGGCCTTGAAGCGCTAGACGTACCTCCAGTATGCTTCGACAAAACGGCTAACAGTTGTAGTCATGCATCGTGCCTTCCGGTTTCGCAACTGATGGGAGGGGAAACCGCGACTGAATGGGTGAAAACAGCCCACGAACTGGCAACAGCATTGCCGGCCGTGCTGGAAGCAGGTGAGCACTACGACAGATGCCGGGTAAATGTCGCTGGGTCGATTCGTGCTGCAGAGGTACCAGACACAGAACACCACTCTGGCACCCGGAAGGCGGGAGATCGATGACTAACACCACTAACTGCTTTTGGCCGAAACTAACCGCATTGTCTCACCTGGGCAAGTCACCATTGCAGGTCGAAGCTGAGGAAGGAACTAATCGTTGGGTATCGAATATGAACGCCGTCTTTTCACGCGGCTCTCCATAATGCGAGCGTAAAATCCTACGACCTAACAAGAAAACCAATAAAGCAGCAAACCATCAAGCTCCTAGTTTTTCGAAGCCTCGGTTTCCAAGGCCTGAGTTTCCAGGGCCTCTACCTAATGAGGCTTGATGCTGGACCTGGCGAGCCACAAGGCCACGCTCTCCTTTGCGACTTCACTGCCCCATACGCCATCGGCTCCTCCTCGTCGCCATTCCTCGCCAGACACGTCTTCACCGCCACCTCGTGTAGCCTCGCCGAGTAGCACTTCCAGATCGCGCTTCTGGCTGGACAACCAGCGCTTGAAGAAGGCCACAGGGTCCTTGGACATGCTGGTGAAGAAGGCGTGTTTCGCCTTCGACTGACCAATAGCACCCATCAACAGCACAAGCTGCTCATCGATCTTCTGAATCTCTTGGAGGGTCTGTATGCTATCTGGTCGGCGGAGGATGTCTTGGAACAGCGGCTGCATCGGGTCCTCGAGTGCTACCTGGACGTCATATACGGTCGGTTCGGAGGGGGTCTTGCCGGAGTCGGCAGCGGGCGAGATGTAATCCTTATCCACACGGATCGTGTATTGTAGTTGGATTGGTGGGAGAGTCGTGAGGTGTTGCTTGATGAGTTGGGGCAGGTTCGGGAAGAAGAAGTGGTCCTGGCCACCGAACAGGGCCTTCAGCCTCGCGTCGCACGCAAACTTGCGCTCGTCGTCTTCTTGTTGTAGGTGTTGCGACCTCGCGTATTCCCAGATGCCCATGAGGACACCAGCGCGATCCTCCTCATCGGTGTCAAGCAGCTCGGCGAGAGGTTTGCTCAGTCGAAAGACTTCGGGGTTTTGGTACCGCTGTAGATTGATCGTGATGTTGATGTTCTCGTCGCCCTTGCGCTCGAACTCGAGTTCGCTGAAGTTGGCCTCCTTCGCAGTGGGGTTCTCGGGTCGCTTCCATTCGATTTGCGTAAAATTGTCGGGTTGTAAGCTCTTGGCGCGGTCGAAATCGATGTTGATGGACGTGAAGTAGTGTGAGAACTGCTTGGGCTTCGCGGCTGGCTTTTTCTCGGCTCCGTCTTCATCCCTAGACGCTAGTCAGTTTTGCTGTACGTCATAAAATCCGACCGGCAGGCGCTCGAACTGGCGCCGGCGCAAGTAAAAGGTCGACATACATAGCATCAGCGTCCTTCTCCTCGTCCTCATCCTCCTCAAGACCTTCGTCGCCGTCTTCGTCGAGCAGGCGGCCTTGGATCTTCACGCGGTATGTCGCGTTGTTCTCGCCGTCAAAATCGAAAGCGTCCGCGTCGAGGCCGGTGCTCTGCCAAGGCTGGTTCTCGGCGGTGTTTGATATCCATATGCGCATGGTGCCGTAGCGCGATGCGCGCGAATGGTGTTTTGAGTCCATGACATCCAACTTCTTGCGCATCATGGTCGCATCCAGCGTGCGCTCGACCTCGCGCAGTTCCTTGTAGCGGGCTACGGCATCGCCGATGCACACGTCTTCTACGCCCTCGGGAATGTTCTTGTCGGTCGGGTTCTTCGCGATTCGGCGCATCTTCTCGCGGCGTTCAGCTTCGGCGCGCTGCGAAGCCTGCATGTTGGCGTTGTTGTACTGCGGTTGCGCAGCCGGGTGCGGAGCGTGGACAATGGGGCCTGGGTTGCGAAACAAGTGAGCGAGGTCGTTCCTACTAATCATCGTCTTTTACGGAAGGTATGCGCAGGCGGTCGGTGCGATGGGGCGTGTTGGGGAAGCTGTGGTTGGCAATGGGTACTTACCTGGTCGCCGGGATGGCGTAGCTGCATTGTGCTGTTGCGGATAATTATATCCCCGTGCCTGATAGTTCGGTTGCATGGTGCAAAGTGTGCGAAAATGAACGGCAGCGAAGTTCGCGATGAAAGCGCGTCAGTGGAGATGGAAGGTGGATAGGATGGTAACTTCTTCGAGACGCGTCGAGGTTAGGTACGACTACGTGCATGCACGGATACTCTAGCTCCCCCTATAGGCCATGCGGGGCATCACCCCCACCCAGCCCTCGACTGCACAAGCTTTTCCATCTACTTCCAGCCTCATCGACATCAGAGACCCGCGTGTCATGTAAAATAGCAGCCTTCAAAAGGTGCTTCTCGCTGCTATTGGGGCCCCGTCTCATTCACTGCTTCAGCATCCGTCTTGGCACTCGTTGACGCTCGTTCAGTGAAGCGATCTAGTATCCTCCAAGTTTATCTAAGCGTCATTATCGCTGTCCCCTGTTCTCCTTCTTCCTTTCTTTTTCTCCCATCTGCACCTAACAGGCAAGACCAGTCGACGCCCAGCACTCTAGTCTTTGGCGTGAGTGAAGAGAAGGAAAACATGGAGGACCAAAAGTCAAAGAAACCTCTCAGAAGAATTACCAACGTGCGTATACCGGATAAACCGTCGTCGACACTCTGGGACATCACGATCAACGATGGGAGAATTGCTTCGGTAGACAGCCATGTCAAGGACTCGGACGGGCGCAGTGAAGACACGCTAGATGGAGGCAATCGTCTCATAGCGCCATCGCTTTGTCATGCCCACATCCACCTTGACAAGTGCTTCCTCCTACAAGACCCCAAATTCAGCGACTTACAAATCGAGAGCGGCGACTTCACCGAAGCCATGTCGATGACGGGTGAGGCCAAGTCAAGGTTTGAGGAAGATGATCTCCTGAGGAGGGGCGCGCGTCTCATCGAAGAGAGTATCCAACAAGGTGTGACCGCTATGCGGGCGTTTGTAGAAGTGGATGGGGTGGTGCACATGAAATGTTTGGACGCAGGTCTCAAGCTGAAAGAAATGTTCAAGGATCGCTGTGAAGTGCAAATTTGCGCGTTCGCCCAGCTCCCGCTATTCTCTGGTCATGACGGGGGTGAGGAAGTAAGGAAGCTGATGACCAGTGCTGCCTCGTTGGAGAAGGTGGCTGTGCTCGGAAGCACACCATATGTCGAGGATGATGAACAAAAGTCCAAGAATAACGTGAAATGGATCACGCAGTTAGCACTCAAATATCAGAAGCATCTAGATCTCCATCTTGACTACTTCCTGGAAGAAGACAAGAAGCCACTGGTCTGGGATACCCTGGACATGTTCAAAGAGCTCAAATGGAAAGACAAGGCGGGAGACAGGCAGATCACGTTAGGGCATTGCACCAGATTGACGAGATTCCGGAACGACGAATGGACGCATTTGAGACAAGAAGTGGGCGACCTGCCGATCTCTTTCATAGGTCTGCCGACTTCCGACCTGTTCATGATGCGAACACCGGAGAATGTGCGCGGGACTCTGCCGGTCATTGAACTCATCAACGAGTACGGGTTCAATGCTGCCATTGCCGTTAATAACGTGGGTAACGCGTTCACACCGTACGGGAACTGCGATCCTCTGGTAAGACATCTTGCATACATGCTCATACAGGAAGGCGCTGAAACCGTGACTAGAGCATTGCATCACTAGGTGTCGGTCTTTACCAGGCTGGTACAAAGAAAGACACCGAACTCCTATATGTAAGCAGCCGTTCAACACCCCGTTTGCTCATGCTAACCATGCAGGAAACCGTATCTACACGGGCAAAGACCGCTATTGGCTGCGATTCGACGTCTCTCGCCCTAGAGCCGGGTCAGCCTGCCGACTTTGTGTTGTTCGACCGAATGGACAGTGGCTGGCACTGCAGAAAGAGCGTGGTAGAGGTGGTGTATGATGCCGGGAATGCTCGCCAAACGGTTTTCGGAGGCCGGTTGATTGCATCGAAAGATACGCGAACGTAATGTATGAGGGCTCTTCAGTGGTGCTGAATGAGTTGGTGACACTGGAGGGGAATTTCTAGGATGCGACCTCATACCGAGTGTCTCAAACGTACGTATGAAAACTTCACCCACTCCGCGCTTTTTAGTCTGAGCATATGCCTGTCGCTTTTTATCAGCTGCCTTGGATTGAATCGTTGAGTAGGAGTGCAATATTCTTCCGCAGTCATCGCGACTTCCCTCAGATGCAACAGTCGTCCCAATGGGGCCTAGGAGACCCTGCTTGTGGCACAGTGTGTGCAAACAGCCCACGAAGACTCCTAACCGCGCACGTCCACTCACTATACAAACGAGCGATTTTGCGTTTCCGCGCCCGCGAGACCGAAAAGCGGTGGACGACACGCGCTCACGTGTTTCATCTTCACTTCACCGGAAGGTGCAATCGCTGCTAACAGACCAGACTCGGCTATTTGAGGACCGAGCGTCTGTACCACGAGGCTCCAGCACCCATCAATTCTGCAAATATCTCGCATCAACGCCGGTATTGAGATTGGACTGAAGGTTGTGGCCAAGAGATAGTGACCGTGCTGCCGCCTGGACGAACGTCATGGAAGCTCTCGACAGCGACAGCATGTTCAATAATGCGCAGCAATCGCGACACCCAACCGAAATGATCCACTCCGGAACGATCAACGGCAGACACGAGCACGTGAGTCGTGGTCATCAACCGACTATCGGGCAGGTCGTTTACATATTCCTGGACAACATCAAGGTGCGTTCACCTCATACCAGAAAAAAACTGAACAGGCCTAGAGCCTACATCGACGCCAGGTCACCTATCTTGTAGGTTTTCATGTTGATGTAGGCTGCAGACCCGTTCGGTTTTTTTCTTCATTGACGTGCGTCGTTGCTTTTGCACTCTCCATCGAGGGTCATCATCATCGTATACATTCCCGTAGCATCAGATACTGACTATCGAAGCTCCGATTCGGTGAACATTCGACTGAGGTCATCAGCATCTTGAACATCCTTGGTACATTCCGAGCTGGAGAGATGTCGAAGAAAGACACGCTCGTTGCGATCAGGAACACGCTCGGAGACCACGCAGACCTCAAGCAAGATCTTCTGAACATCCTGTTTCACAGAGAGGCCGACTGGGGTAAGTTTTGACTATACGGAATGCATGTGAGACATATACTGACGTCGTGCGTCTACCTCCAGGCGTGGGCGACTTCGACTTTGGGTTCCGCCAGCCACTCCAACAACCTAGCCCTAGCCCTCAATTCCTGCAGCCGGCTCATCAGCCTCAGATGCGCTTACCCCGAATCTCTCCACTATGGTACGAGGATGATCATACCTACTATAGCCAGCCTTGGTCTTCCGTCACCAACGGTCCGATGCTTGATCATGCGCAGTCTCCTACAGGCAATCACTTCAATTCGCCAGCAGTTTTTTACCAAACCCAACTGTCTCCAGCTCTCTCGCCAAGGAAGGGAAAGACTGCCACCGCCAGTCCATCTGTGCTTGGAGTACCCGTCGCTGTACCCATCGGCCAGCCCATCGACGAGATGCCCCCTCCATTGAAGAAACGCCGTCGTCGTCAAAGCTCAACAATTCAGGCTAAGGCGAAGGAGGAACCAAGAGAAGAAGATGCCGAGATCGCTGATCGACTCTCAGTCTCAACACAGCCGGAAAAGAAGATCAAAGAGGCAAACACCCTGTCGCAAGGAACAGGAGGGCCCTACATTCACAGTCTGTGCGGCAAGGGATTTTCCGGCAGGTCAAAGGTCAAGAAACACCACTGGGGTAAGAAGCTTGATGATCTGGAGACAACTAGCGGCTGTTGGGCGAAGAACAACAAGCCAGACGTGAGCTGGAACGAGCACCCGAGCTGCAGGGAGGGCGTAGCGCAACGAAAGCCTTCATCGGCCGTTCTGAAACCGATGACGTTGACCCAAGAAGCACCATTGGTGCCTTCGATGGTACCTACCTCTGGAGACCGCAACCACTCTTTTGCCGACGCTTCGCGGCCCCGCCGAGAGAGTGAGCAGCCTATCGAAGACATGAGCTCTTATCATTCTCATCGGCTGCCAACTCGATCAAGTTTCGACGACCTTCTCACTGCTGTCAACGTCGCATCCGAGATCGACGCGCCACGACCTCAAGGACGCATCGACTCAGTGGTCTCTCATCTTGATGCTCAGGCAGCTGCTGCTGAACAGAACAGGCAGTACATCACCAACTGGCAGAACGCTTCAGATGATCGTCGTGAGGAGTCTCTTGCATACGGTCGCCAGTACCCATACACTACACAGGGACTTGGCCTTCGAGGTGTTCACGTGCCAGTACACATGGCTTTGCCGGTTCTTGATGGATCGTACCAGTACCCTCCTCCCTCACGTTCCTTCGCCGATTCACACTGGAATGACGGCAACGAGTTGGAGTTCGACGGATCAAGGCGACAGTATGCAGCTCTCGGATCGCCGTTCTCACCTGGTGCAGATGCAGAATACCGCTAGGCTTGGCCAGCTAGCCAGTTTGCGCGCTCTACTGGGACGAAAACGGAGCAGGTCGTATGGAAAATGACTGCAAGCGTCAGCAAAAATGAAGCAGAATCCATCGAGTGCTGTAGTGGTTGGAGCTACAGAAGGAGTGTACGACTATAATCAACGAGAATACCCGACGCTTGTATGTAACGGTTGTTCGTAGAACAACAGAACATGGCGCGATCTAATCTAATGTCTTCCAACATCATGTTGTATCTGCATGATGAGGACGTGATGATGAATGACGAGCTGCTTCGTAGAAGGATGCAAATGGCGGTGTCATTGCTGCATGCAGTATACCATCCCGACCTTGCATACACGACATGTGGCGTGGTTCAAGCTTCCGCCTCAACGGGTAAGCTCATCGGCAGGGATACTTCACCCCAGCCGCTCTCCGCGTAAACAACAAGCCATCTCCACGTTGTTCTGCCTGTGAAGGCGGCGCGTTTAGTTTCTTCCGCTATTTTCCGCGAATGGCGACTTTTGCCGGTGCCTTTAACTCAACTGATCCTGGTCAAGTGAGATTGTGTAGTCGCGCTTCTGAGAGCTATGACGACCGAGGCTTCGAGCTTGCGATGGAGCTGGATGCCTCACGGTGCAACACCAACGAAGGACACCTGCAATTGAGACCGACAAGCTTGTGCAACAGCTGATCGTCGCGCTCCATGGCACAATTGTGACTAGTGTGCAGCTCCTGTGAGCTTGCGCGGGCCGATTTCGTCATAGCCGCGTTCCTGGGGAAATTGACATGGCCTTCCTGCGGGGAAGAAGCGCACGTTCGCTACCCTCGAGCGGCGACCCGCACTTTCCCCAGTACGAGCCCATTAGCACCATAAACCCGGAGGCTGGAGAAGTGAGAATATGCGGGATGGATCCTAGTCACAGGATCGTGGAACGGTAATTACGCCGGTAGCCTGTTCGTCTATAGCAGTATATAATAACCCTCCGCCCTTCAACCCCGTACGCTTCTCCACACCACATCACATCACCTCCACTTCTCAACTCGATCGAGCTTGGCAAGTCACGATGCGGTTCTCAAGTGCACTCCCCCTCTTTGCTGCGACTGCCTTCGCGCAGTACAGCACCCCGCCGACCAACTCGAGCTCGTCCGGACCTGACAAGGACGGCAAGTACGAGATCTCGTCGGAGGGCATTCGCGGTCACTTCATCCCATATGGCGCGTCCGTCTCCAACTTGTTCGTCATGGGCAAGGACGGCGTTGAGCGCGACATCGTTCTCGGCTTCGACAACGCGACTGCTTACGAGGGCGAGGCTCACCCCCATTTGGGTGGTGTGCCCGGTCGTTACGCCAATCGCATTCGGAACTCTACCTTTTCCATCGATGGCGAGCAGTTCTTCATCGAGCCCAACGAGAACAACAACAACAACACCCTGCACGGTGGACCGGATGGATGGGACTACCGCAACTTCACTGTTGTGGCGCATACCGAGGATTCCATCACCTTTTCGATCGTCGATCCCGACGGCAAGGAGGGCTTCCCCGGTGAGGTCGTAAGCTACGTTACCTACACCATGACCCCAAACACATGGAACATCAAGATCGTGGCACTTGCTACCACCAAGAAAACTCCTATCATGCTGACTTCTCACGTAAGTAAATTGCTTTTTGATGCATATTGCAATGCTAAGCAAACTAGACCTACTGGAACTTGGACGGATTCGGTAACCCCGAAGATGAGACCATCTTCAACCACACTTTCCACATCCCATACTCTGGCCAGCGCATGGATGTAGATGCTATTCTTATCCCCACCGGTACTATTCTTCCCAACGAGCAATACTCTGTCAACGACTTTTGGTCGGCGCCCAAGCAGATTGGTGCCAACCAGACTGCGCCCGAGCTTCTCGGCAACTGCGGAACTAACTGCACCGGTTACGACAACTGCTACCTCGTCAACCGCGACGAAGCCGAGGCTCTCGACTGGCGCAACTCTGGACCTGTCGCTTCTCTGTGGAGCGAGTGGTCCGGCATCAAGCTCGATGTCTACTCCGACCAAGCCGCGTACCAGATGTACAGCTGCCCCGGTCAAGATGGTGTGTGATACATGCAAAACTTTCGTAAAACCGCTAACAAAAGTGCTAGGTACTCTGCCTATCAAGTCTACCCAAGGTGCTGAGGGAAGCAGCGGCTACGTCCCTAAGTACGGCTGCGTCGTCATGGAGGTTCAGGACTGGATTGACGCCATCAACCACCCTGAATGGAGGCGCGAGAAGGAGCAGATCTTCGGTCCCTCCAGTGGAGCTTACACGCTCGAGGCCCAGTACGTGTTCTCTACCACTGAGTAGATTACGCACTATTGTGACGCAAGAGCGGAGCCTTGGATAAGGCGACATGATACCACGTGCGATAGTATAATTAGACATCTCTTGAGGATGTCGTAATGGTAATCGAGGTTAACTCCTACTTCACGTCGAGTTTTGCTTTGCTTTCTTTGTTGTGTTACTCCTTTTCGTCGGTCACCATGGATTTACAGTCACTATGGATTTGCGGTCACCTTGGATTTGCAGTCACCTTGGATTTGCAGTCACCTTGGAGTTGCGGTCACCGCGGATTCGTTGCCGTCGTCGTTGCCTACGTCCCTGCCCATCTCGCCGACTGCTCCTTCCTTTACACCTTTACCCTCACCAAACAACTCGCCATCTTGAGAGCGAGAACTTGCTATCCAAAAACAGCCCCAAGGGGTCATCTGTACGACTCTAGCTAGCAAGCCGCTTGATCCCCGTCCTCTTCACCTCCACCATGGCCGGCGGTCACAAAAACCGCAGCAAGAACCGCCGCAAAAACAAGAACAAAGGCAACGGCAAAGATGCCACCGAAGAGGGCCCCAAAGCCAGCGATGAGGGTAAGGCAGAAAGCTCACAGCCGCCCACACCCACTAACCTAAAGTCCCCTATCGACCTCCCCAAGCTCGACACGCCCAATACTACTTCATCCCTGAACTTCGCATTGCGCAAATTTACACCTCAACTGAGCACGACTGACAAAGAGAAAGTGGGCAATGAAACAGGTCCTCAGACACCAGTTGTGAACCCAGCTTCCCCTCGATCTGGCTTCGATGATTGAACGTCTCCAGAGCCTGATGTGCACAACAAGCCCGAGCCCGGTCCCTCCCAATCACGAAAGAGCAAGACAACTCGCGCATTAGGTATCGCTCGAGCCACTGATGCAGCGAAGAGGCTGCACCGCGTCTTGGGTATAGCACCGCCAGAGCCGTTCGTTATGCCGCCTGACATGCCGGAGGGTCTAAAGGAAGAGTTCGAGGCTGGATTGGAGGAGTATGGACTCGATAAGAAGATGCAGAACCTTGGGTTGAATATGCTGAGTCAGGCGGCAGGTATGCAAAAGCCTCTACCGGATAAGCCGCTGTTCCCTTCTCCTCAAGTTGAGGCAGAGACTTGGGACGAAGGAAAGGGCAAAGGTAAGGGTAAAGAGCCTATGTCTACTCCAGCAGCCCAGGATAAGCAGCCTATGGCACCCATTCAAGCTACTCTCGCCATCCACGGCCCATCAGGAGGAGAGTCTTCGTCAGCTAAGAGGCGTATGGCCCCTCCAGGCGGCGATGAGGTCTCCGGTCCGGCGCCCAAAGGTTCCCGTGTAGACGGTACAACCGGCCTACCAACCCTTCCTGAGTCATCTTCATGGGATATCGATTTCCCCGGCTATACTCCCGCGCTCCTCACCATCCTCCTGAACTGGTCCTTCACAGTACAGTCATTCTACCGGCGCCTCCCAAACCCCAAGGCATTCCGTGCCCATGCCTCATTTCCCTTCCCCGTCACCGCTCCGATCTATAACCACCTCATCTCCGTCGGCTTTTACGACACCAGCGTCGTCCCACACAAGGAGATCCGGTTCTTGGGTCCAGGCGACGTGGCTGAGATTGCCTACGCAGAAGTCGACGTATTCCGTGGCAAGGAGGAACGCGCTGCTTTCGAGGAGCAAGAGCAAAAGCATACGAAGCTCGAGGAAATGAAGAAGAAGCTGAAGCTTGGACGCGGGTACCGTGGGCCGGGAGGAGAGGCGACTCGATCCCAGGACCAGATGCATCTTGCTATCCACGGAGAGGGACGATGGGCGTATGTCCTGATCAAGGGCCACCCCACCTCGCCTGAGGACATCGCGCCGCCACACATCATGCTCGCGTGGCACATCTCCGCCGTCACCAACGTGTCGAGTTGCCTGCACACCGTCTTTCCCGAGAAGGATGCTCCCGCTCCTGGCGACCAGCCCATGACCCCGACATCTTCTAAGGAGCCACTGAAGAGCTTTGCTTCCCTGCAGAATCTCGTGAGCGGAAGCCGTGGTCAGAAGCATCTCCACCGCGAGATCCACTCAGCCTCGAGCACTTCGGAGCTGCCTCAGGTGGATGCATCGAGCATTGGGCCTCAAGAGGGTGCGCTCACGTTGAAGAGAACGGTCGCCAAGATGGAGCACGCTGGGAGTATACCGCTTGTTGAGGGCTTCCGGGTTGACGTGGGGCAGTTCAAGGGATGGCTGGATGCTGTGGGTAAGGGAACAGGCAAGCTCATTGTTTGGAGGAAGTAGCAGTCTACAACTCTACCATCCATGCGCTGGTTGCCTAGAATGTGGCGCCAATGGCTTGCAGTACGAGTGGGCGAACGATTGAAGTTGGGTTGGTCGTTCGGAACGAATGCTCCGAGCGAGGACAGTGTGTGAATTTGCTCTCGACTGATAGAGCGATCGCTTGAAGCTAGTCATCATTCTGTCTTGGCGGCTCCGTTCTACCTAAGCACACACTATTAGCTAAGAACACCCCAGGCATCGAATTTACTTCTGCCCCAAAGCTATCCCATGAGACGTCGCTATCGTGATGCTCTTGACGCCACCAGATTTAAGGGAACTTGATGCAGTTTGCTTACATTGAAGTGAGGCGCGTCATTGCGACACATGGTGGTCCCTTATCCAATGGTTCACGTGTTTCCTGAGCCGATACAACACGGCCTCTTCGTCCATCGTAGGCAGGCCGCTTTCATCAAGTCGCCTATTAACGTCTTCTGCGAGTTCCATTCGAACATCCTCGGGGATATCCATCCAGTAGCGGAGTCCTTTTCTGGGGATCTTTTCCATGTTTGCGTTAACCGCCTCGCGAAGTACTTTCTGGAAAGTGGGTTAGAACATGTGACAACGCTCCGTGTAACCGAGCGAATGCATGACATTATACTTACATAAGGGAACGATCTCTGAGCTACCTTCTCCCAGGCTTCGTACTGATCTGCGACTGTTATCGGTTAGCATCGATGAGCGTCATGTGCGCCGAGTATGCATACAGCGCTGATAGTGGCGCAGCTCTGGTAGAACCTTTGACACACGCCACTCGATCCCTTCATCGTCTACAGGTGGAAGCCCTTCCTTCACTACAGACTCCCTGATCGTTTGAATCAGATACTCCTTCTCTTTTGCAGTGAGCTCGGTCAATGTGGAACGTGTGAAGTCTTTGCAAACTGCGAGGGAGACACGCTGAGAGAAAGTTAGCACTATGAGCGCGTCGCGACAACTGATTGAGCGAGAGTTGTACCAGGAAGATTGGCCATTGTTTCTCAGATAGCCCCAGAGTTTCCCTGACGGTACTTCTGCTCATGCGCCTTGGGATATGGGTCCCGGTTGCCCAGAGAAATGCCGTGATCCTCATTGCGCGGGTTATCCAACGCGCAAGGTTGGCAACATCGCACGGGCTAGATCAACTCGAAAATAAGAAGATTCCGGTGTCGTGGTATCCGGTCTGCTCGTACTTGGGTCCAAGGCTGTCGTGTGGCGGTATGGTGTTGGAGATGTGGGGAATGCATGGCGGCGTTCCATGTCGCGTTTGACAGAGTGCAGACATCATGACCCTTGCATTAGCCTATTTTCGGACCACGCTAGCATCCTAGCGGCAAAAAACAATCCGATCCACCACACAGCGTCGTCGGCTTCGCGCGCAACACATGATGGCCCCCATGCGGCGCCAACTTATTTGCGATCCTACAGCTCGAGAGCCTCACCGAGAGCCTCAGCCGCTTATCGCGACTGTTCTATCGAAGTTAACCCCGTTTCGAGATGGGGCGGTGCCCGCTGCAAGGTACCATGCCGCATGTGTGTGATTGGGGCCGAAAATGCAAGTGGCAGGCAGCATATTTCATGCTCTGTCCTTAGAATCCTTCCTACCGATTTACTTGTCCAAACTTCCCTTTCTCTATTTCATTTTGCTTTACGGGTTTTCAGCTTGGGCGACGATACTTTCCGATAGCCCCAAACGCCATGGCTTATGAGCCTGTTGGACCCCGGGCGAAAGGTCCACATGTGTCGGTGGAGTATGATGGCGGCCTGAACACCAGCTACGATCCTGGGGCGTACAACAACGCCCCGCATGTTCCCCAGGATAGCGATACGGAATACAGTGTCGAGAATACCAAGGGTGTATCGCAGAAATGGCCTTCGGATTTACGGAAAGTTGGGCGGATCACGCCATTGAAAGCGCTGATCCTGGTTTTCGATGTGGTTCTGGCTTCATCGCCTATCATGTTTTTGGGTGAGCACGATGAATCTCAAAATGACTGCTTTCGCCTGTCTTGGCTTCAAGTTGATCCAATCGACTATATGCTAACATGCTACAGCTCTCGCCCTTATCGCTGCCAGATTAAACGGGAAAGAAGTATCGGACTACGGTAACAAACTGGAACAAACACTTCTCCTTTCGCCGACAATCTTCCCTTTAATCTTCGCGGCCTTGATGGGACGGTTTTTTCGACATGTTGGTCTCTTCCTTGCTCAACGAGGCACAACTCTTGGCCGTCTTGAACAACTAATTGGCTGCCAATCCGTCTTCTCCGCACTCGAGCGTCAGTTTTGTCTGAGGTCTTGGTCTATGCTTGGACTTGCATCCGTCTTGATTTGGCTCCTTTCGCCAGTCGGTGGACAGTCTGCACTTCGTCTCATCGACCAAGAGATTGGAAACGTCCAGTTTACCAAACCAGTGCGCTACCTCCATCCGACGACGTTTATGGATTCATTAATGGAGACAGCTAATACCCTTAGTAAGTTTACATGTGCCAAGCGCATTTCAGACGTAAGCCGGCTCTATACTTACACTGTTCATAGGTTCAGGCCGTAGCTCCTTCACTCCAATCTTCCTCACATCTATACTCAGCAGCACCAGATACCGTACTACACCCATGGACCTATGGGGAAATGTCAAACTCCCGCTCTACCGCACCATCGAGAACAGTACGTCTGACGAGTGGAAGTTTGTGCCTAATGGTACAGCCGACAACGTCACATACGCTTCCCTGATCGGTATCCCAATAGCCGGACCTCCCTCTGTCGGCATCAGCTCCTTCAACATTGAAGCTCGCCAATTCGACGTGACCTGTTCAAGCAACAATGCATCACGAGGAGAACCTATAGATTTTGTGTCAAAATATACGTGGCAACTCCAAGTAGTTAACGATACAGCGCCGCCGCCTTGCAAAAAGAATGGGACGTCCTGTGCGCCCCCAGTTTGTGCCAGTTACCCCTGCCCAATCCGGAGTGAATCTCTCGTCGATTCGGATACAGGCAAGTACTCAGTGGCGAATTGCGGACTTTCGTTTGAGAAATATGAAGTCGGAGTGCGCTGCAATGGGACGGAGTGTGCCGCTTACAAGATGAGGAAGATGTACTTGTACGACGAGGACTACCCAATAGGCTATGATATCGCCCTAAGGAGGCAGTTCATGGCTACTGCACTCCTCGCCATGACGAGCGCGGACAACTTCAATATGCCTTCTGCAGAAGCTCGAGGCGCGACGACTATGGAGAAATGGCTGCAGGACCCACTCGATTTCACCGGCGTGTTCTTTGGAAATGTCGAACTGTACAAGCTGTCGCCGCAAGTCTTCGGCGACCGTCTGACTATTATGTACAACACATTCTGGCAGTCCACATACGCCAGCAGAGCGATCGGCGGAAATCTACCAGCATCCGTAATGGAAACCGGCGCCATGAACTTTACCCAGGCGCAACGCGCGGATGCCAACATTACATTTGTCGCGACTGAAGCCAACATATCACAGGATACCATGCCGATGTACAAGACAGATTGGAGATGGTTCGCAGCATTATTGGTTTGCTCATTCATACTGCTTGCCGCCGCATACACCGGACTCGTACTCAAGTACATCACGATCGCACCGGATATCATCGGCTATGCATCCTCGCTGACGCTTTTGAATCCTTATGTTCCAACACCTACGGGAGGAACTACTTTGACTGGACTGGCGAGAACAGCGTTGATGCGCGACTACCCTGTGCGCATAGGAGATGTCTGCCCGAATGAGGCCGTGGGCGCGATAGCATTTGCAAGAGCCGACAGGAACGTAGGAAAGCTGGACAGGAAACGATTATACATCTGAGACCACAAAGTCGTAGCGAAGCGGCGTTGCCGGAACTATCTGAAAGATATAGAAGAGCAATAATGTACATCACATATCATCAATCGCAGTCATACCTGATCATGCCTCGGAAGGTCGCGCGTCAGATCTCGCGACACACTACATGCCACCTGATGTGCGTCGATGCAACTCACCACAGAATCCTCGATTCATCCAACGATATTCTCGAACGCTATAACGTATCACATATTGTCGCGCCGCGGCTATAATCACCACATGAAGCACACACCGAGACAAACGACGCCATACCCACGCGGCTCGCGAAATCCAGGATCATGGCTGCAAGCAGCTGTCACCACCTGTCAAACCTGCGCTATAAACATTTTCACTCTTAATAGTAGCTTGTATGGTGTAATTGTTTAGTCGCGTAGCCGATTGGAAGGTAATGAGGCATTTGGTGTGTCGACTCCAAGACCTGCGGGGTTTCAGGTGCCTGAGGCAGCACTTTGGAACACCAACACCGGCGGGCACTGGCATTGCAACTCCGCCTAGTAATTTTGACAGAAGCGCTGGAGATTTGGATGTAGGCGCCGTGGGGGTAAATGTAGGAATATATATGTAGGAAAGGATGCCTCTGGGAAGAGTCCATCATCAAGCCAACACTCATTCATCTCACGTTCACTTCATTTCATTCCCTTCACTTCACTTCTTCAGCGCTCGGTCGCCCCATTCATTCGATACAACATTAAGATACCCATTACTGTAACGCACTTTCATTCCAAATACTTCAATTTGTCAACATGAAGTTCACCAGCACCCTCATCGTTCTTAGCGTCGCTGCTCTCAGCAACGCACGCGCCATCTATGTTCGCCAGAACAACGCGCAGACCTTCACCGGCGCTCTCGGTGGTGTCGCAGCTACACCTATCCTCGATTCCGGCATCGCGAACCGTCCCTTCAGTGTCAAGGGTGACACTTTTGTCAACCTCTCGGGTGCTCTCCAGCGCTCTTGCGACCAGCAGTTCAACGGCTGCGCGAACTTGGCCAACGGCGGACAGGGAGACTTCTCCACTCAGGATTGCCAGGCTCAGAAGCGTGAGTTCGATGATTGATAGTCTTTTAGAACGATACTAATCATGTGGTAGAACAATGCGATGCTGCAGGCGCTGGCAACTAGAATTACTCTTTGAGGCAGTGGACCGGGGTATGCTGAATGTCCTTTAACGGTCAGCGAGGGGCTTGATGCTTTGCGACGATGGGTCTTGTAGCATACATACTCTTACGATCAGACGCAACGCAATTTATGAGATGACAATGGACTTTCGCATTTGCACCCCTTGTGTCGATGATAGTGACTCCGGCTCATGTCCGCACTAGCCCTTTCTCTTTCTCTGCTTCATCTTTCCCCGTAGAATCTCTCTTCGGTAAGTTCTTGAGGCACGGCGCATTGAACAGACGACCGCTCCATGCACCGCGTGCTGTGCCAACTGCTACTACGCACCACAGCAGAATGACGGCTACGGCGAAGATCGTCCCTAAAACTCTGAAAAACAGACTTGGGAAGATGTTACCAAGCTCCATCGTACTAAGCGCCATGACCCCAAGGGGAAACGTGAAACCCCACCAGCCCATGTTGAACGGAAACGGCCGAGACTTGTAGATGGATGCCAGTGCGAAACAGAGCCAAGTCAGCCCAAACGCCCACATGATGAGTGCCAGAAAGACCCCAAATACGAAGAAGATGTCGCCTGCCACGGGAATATCTGAGAAGAAATCCGTCTCTGGAAAGACCCGCCTGCTGACCGAACCAAGATAAGTTATGGAATAGCCGCCCATGCCTAAGGGACCTAGTGGCAAGAAGGATGACACAACAATCTCTCGTGGTGGTAGCTTGTGCAAAGCCAGGCGTGTATAGTACATGACTAGAACGGTCATCGCTAGTGGTGTCGACATACCCCACATAGTGTACGAAGCAATGATCGTACCAAGAGCATGTTGCGGGTTGGTCAAATGCTCTGCGACTCTGGCACCGGTCCCTGCAGCGACTATGGATGCAGCGATAGGTAACAGCTGAGCTGCTGTGATGCGATCCAAAGCCTGACGGTCAGAGGCAGAGATCAGTAGGATCGTGAGCGATATCGTGACTGAGACAGCGACTACAGAATCGATCATCCAGCAGACCCAAGCAAAGGTAACGGCCCAGGGCCCCCAATATGGAATGCATATTGAGCACCAAGCTGAGATGAGGGTAGCGAATCCCATCGGAATGGTTCCAAGGAAGAGCGAGTTGACACTGTCCGCGATCATAACGGTCCATATCTCAGGGTATACCACATATCGAAAGACAGAGACGGAAAAGGCGCAGGCGAACAGAATAGTGTTGAGTCCAAAGAAGACCACCGCAAGCCAGTACAACCAGTCTGCTTTGAACGGTATAGCGACGAGAAGTAGAGAAACTACGCCCGTGCCCATGGTCACGGAGAACCATGACGGCGAAAAGTTCCTCACAATCCTGCGCCAACCCACCTATGCTTGTTTAGAGTACATTTCCAGGCCTCGTGTGTTGAAAACATACATCGTATTTCGTCAACTCCCCAGATGCGACCGTAGTATTGGAACCGGTAGATTGAGCAGCTGACGTCGATGTCGGGCCCTGAGACTTCAGCCGTCGTATGGGAGCCCGCTGGGCCGCGGGCGCAGTCAGAGCAGGATTATCCGACGCGACGCGATCCAGTTCGTAGTCGTCCATCTATGCGATGCGCTGTCCGTGTGTGCATAGCAGTCAGGCCTGCTGGAAATGCCATCTTGGATAAGACACCACTTTAGCGATGACGATGCAGTCGCCGCGCCGCCATTGCCCGCTCGCAAATCCCAGAGCCCAGATCCAATCACGTGGGTAGCACGGACCGATCAGTTTCACAACACTGAACCTCGTCGAAAAGGCTGAACCTCACTTCAATCTTCTCCGCAAACTTCCTTTGATCACGTCAGCTTCCAGTCGTCACCCCCGCATCCCCATTCTCTGGTCCCGCAAGCAGCGAGTGCAGGCCTGAACCATACTCAACGATCCTTCGGTCTCGCTTCCGAACATCCGTGTGCCTGCCGCTGGACCCTGATCTTCGACAGGCGCGTTCGCACTTTTGGTCACCAACACCATGCCCGGCTTTTTGGATCTTCCACTTGAACTCCGAAACCATGTTTACGAGGTGTTGCTTAACGAAGAGCTGGGGCGTTCTTTTCGCGGGGTTATGGTGGTGTCAGAGCATTACGTGAGGAACGATTTACCGCTTCGGTGTTATCGCGGGCTGCTCCGCGTGTGTCGCCAGACACACGGAGAGTTTAAACAAGCAATCCAACACCTGGTCGCTGCGAAACGCCTAAATTACGAATTCGACATTACCTTCTCACATGGCCGGCCGTACTTCTCGTTGAGCTGGGTTCAGTTTGCGGCGCTTTCGCCTACCATCAATCAACTCCTTATCAACGTCGACTTGCGCACAAGAGAGCCCCTCCGAGACGGGCCGCGCGAATCTTTTGTTCCTCATGAGCATGAGCTGGCTCATTTGTTGGAGCACTCGCCGACTTGTTTTGCCAAACAGCTCTTCGATTACATTGCTATCTTCCTGAAGACACTTGCGAATCTATTATTCCAAGGCAACCCTCACTTCAGTGTGTTATACACCGAACGTATGATATTGAACCTGCGTACGCCAACGAAGGTGGTAGCGCTCGGGGGAAACGGCCACAATCCAATCACCCTGTCGCGGCGGCTTCGTGTCGACCAAGCCGAAGCTCGCAAGTTGCACAACACTATGCGCAACACTCTCCAGATTACGTCGAATAACTTCAAGGCATTTGACGCAAACAACTGTGACCGGCTCTTCCCGCTGATACAGATTGGTTCTTTGCGGTTTGCGACGGAAGGGGTGATATGGGGAGAAGGACACAACTTAGTACTTGCGCATGATGATTTTCAGTGGTTGCGGTATTAGACGACTCGCGAGTCCTGAAAATTCGAGACGCTGATGTGACTACATTGAATTAAGAAACTTCAATCGTTATTAGCATGCTTCACTATAATGTCTACATAGAGTTTAGTAGACGTAATCCTGGCTGCTGTTGATCATGGAGATGTCTACATGGGCTTTGGTATACTCCATTTCTCGCTGTCTATCAGGTATGTAGGCGTCCTGCTGGTCTGCCACCTCGCTGATCCTTCTATGTAAGATCGATGTAGTTCTGAGGGCCACCCAGCTGGTCAGCCAGATCATCGACATCAGATGGCTCCTTGCCCTTTCCTCCCGTCTTCTGCTTCGCCTTCCAGGCCGTCTTCCGCGCTTTCTCTTTCATCTTGTCCTTCATCGCCTTCTCCTTGGCTAGCGCGATCTTCGCAGCTAGGCTGCCCGCCTTCTCGTACAGTGTGCTGATCACGTGCACGACGTCTTGAGCGCGGAGGAGAGGGTCTTTCGTCTCGTCGTCTTCCGCACCAGAGACGCGGGCGTTAACGGCGTCGACAAGGTAGCGGCGTACTAGGCTCGCGGAGCCGTGAGTGAAAGAGGAAAGGACGACTAGGAGGCCGAGAACCTTGGAGGACATGTCGTTATCCTTGGCGGGCTTCATCGAAGCGGGTAGGAGCTATAGATACGTCAGTATGAGTCTCAGATCAGTTCGGACAAGGATATTACTAACCATCTCCCATTTCCAAGCCCAATTCAAGAAGATCGCCAGGCCAAGGTTGCGCTTGCTTTCCATACCGTCCGGAGCGGCACCGGCGACTTCCTTCAGGTCCTTTTGAACGTCGGCGTACGGGCGGGTGATTCGGATGGTGTTGTCCAAGACAAAACCTCCTGGGCCTTTGCCGAGGCTCATGACGTGCGAGCACCTCTGATAGTCGTTGAGATCCTATTTATTTGGTCAGAGTTTGATGATTGCGCTTCAATAGACATCACTTACCTTCCAAGGCAAGCCGTAACCGTCGACCCACTCGTTGCTGACTTCCTCTTCACCGTTATAGAAGATGC